GCTGGGTCTGCCTATCTAGAGGCAGAGCCAGCTGTACCTGCCATCTCCCCCGTTCGTTCCGCCAGTCAGCGCTGGCAGATCGGAGCGGGGAGAGGGGAATCACCTCATAGTTCTCCTTTAAATGCCATCTGTAATACGTTTGGACACTTGCATTCACTTCTTTGATTTGACCTGGAATGTATTTTTGTATTATGTGAAAAAGCTTTAAAGTAAATATATATGATAAGTAAATAATATATAGTGGGTATCTTTATGAAGCAATAGATATAGCATTCACTAAGCATTCACTGCAGGTGTATCTTCATGGTGCATGTGTTTAAAATTACAGTGACTGATTTACCTGCAGTAGATGTTTGATGAATGTCAGATTCACTGGTTCTGCAAAGTCAGCATTCATTTTACAATAAATGCCAGAAATGGTAACAGCTGATCCCTAATCTAAGCAACATGCTTTTTCTGTCCCAGAATCAAAAAGTTTGGCACGTCTTGATATTTTCTTACTACAGTTGAGTTATCTTCTCAGTTTTCTCAATTCTCATGTATATCAATAAGATTTTATAATGCTGGTAGTCGTAAATATAAATGAATAGGAATGTGGGGACTGCCATTCCTAACTTTAGTGCAAGCTCCAGGCCTGTTATTGTTATTGTTGCTTTATTACTGAGTGTTTCTATGTTGTGCTGTTTCTCCTCTTCACTCCCCGCCTCAGGGTTCTCCTCAGCTCTCTTCGGACATACTCTTCCACCAGCTAAATAGCAATAGAAGTTGTTGCTAACTTACACAAAAAAGGAAGCCCTAAAAAGGACTGTTAGATCTATTCACTGTGAATGGGTGGTACACAATCATATGTAACCCACCACGATGCAATTCACAGTATTGAAGCACAATGCAGCATAGTGAGTACAGGGGGGTGCACTCCACACTGTAACCCACCAAACTCAGCATATTGCATATTTTCAAAGCTGGAGCACATACATATTTTCAAAGCTGGATATAGAAATCTGTTTGAGACTTTATTTCCATCTTTGAGAATACAAATAGGCAAGAGATAAAACCCTTGTCAGATTTATTTATTTATGTTTTTATTTTTTTATTTATTGCTGTATGTATCCCATTGGGGATCTTCCCTTCAGTTCCTGAGATGTATATACTACAGAAAGTGAGAGAAAAAAACTCAAAATTTGACAAATAAGGTGCATGAATTTCTCCAGTGGGGACAAAAATGGCAATACAACCTGCCAGGGGTTGCCACTATTCTACACTCTATCCATTACTTTAAAAAATGGCTTTAGATGCACCTTAACATTTAAAATAAACCCTAGCACTATGGTCTTACATACTTGAATTGCTCCTGTTATATGAGTATAGCCTATTCAACTTTATGGAGTTGTAGTACACTGGCAGCCAGACACTTGGATCTACCACCAGGGGCTGCCCACAAATTATTTGTATCTTTTTGAGCAGAGCAATTCCTTTCCTCTTGAATAAGATATTTGCATTTTATCTCAGTGTAATAAAATATGAATTTCATTTTTGCCTCAGGCAGAATTTTGTGTGTGACACAATATTTACATATGCAACAGAATTTACGGCATCATGGAAGAGGCCTCAATTACCTGCGCTTTTCTTATTGATATGGTGGTATTTCTTAAAGCCCAACTCCTTGCAAAAATCAAAATTGAACTGTGCAATGTTAATCCAGTTATTTTCTAAGCTGTGGTTCCTGCAAATACATCACATCCAGCTATATAACCTATAAAACTAGCATTTTACTTCCTCAAAAATCCTTATTTTCTGACCTGGGGATAATTTTCCCTGCTTGTTACCTTCCAGGGAGCCAGTTCCCCAGTGTAGTTCTTTTTGCTGGGAAGCTGACATAAACAAGGCAATGTGAAGAGAGTGCAGGGGCAGTGCTATTGTAAAGTTTCTGTCTGCCTGCTCTGTTCCAGCCCTGCCTCCTCTGAACTACTATTACACCAAAGATTCCTGTAGTATAATTATTAGTGGTCCTGCCTTGCATATGTAGGGTCATGGGTTCAAGACAGGATAGTGTCTGAAGATCTGAAGCTTCTCAAGGGGCCGTGCAGGATTATGGGGCGGGTGCATGCGCAGTAGAGATCTTCCGTAGGGAGAAGAGGTGAAACACAGTGGAGCTGAATGCAAGCAGCCTGGAACATGCATGTCGGACAGACACCATGGGACAGGAAGAGACAGCAGTCTGCGCTGCACCAGAGACCGGCACCAACGCTAGAGGTATTGCTGAATACAAGTGGAAGGAAGATGATGGTGATCGGATCCAGAGGGACCATTTAAGGTAAGTCCTTAAATCAGCAGGAGGGGGGACAAAATTGTGACTTTGTCACTTTAAAGTTGTAGGTAAAAGTTTTAGTTTAGTTTTAGGTGAATATTTTTTTTCTGGAATTTCTGCAGTAATTTCCTATCACTATGACTTAAGCTGAGCACAGACTGAGAATACTGAAAATATTATTTCCATTGTTGATAAATACTTGTATGCACTGTATGTGTGTGTGCACAGTTTCAGTAATGTTTTCTTTGCGGGTTCTCTATGGTGACACATTTGCACTGGTCAGGCAGAGGTTGAACTAGTCACATACATACATCCAAATAACGTGTGCAGTGGCGTCACAAGGGGGGTGCGGCCCGCATCCGGGTGACACCATTGGAGGGGTGACACCAAAATGACTGACAGTCATTTTGGTGTCACCCCTTTCTGAAAAGTCGGGCACTCGGTCAAGGACCGAGAGCCCGACAGTTGCTCGAGAAAGGAGGGGACCCGGTGGCATACCTTATCCTGCCGGGTGACGTCCCTTCCTCTCTGCCGGTGTCCATCACCAAGATGGCCGCTGGCAGGTAACAGCGGTACCGCGTGTGACGTCATCACGCATACGCGATGACGTCACTGCGGCGGTATCACCCGGTACCCAGTCACCACACCTCTGAACGTGTGTACTTGGTCTTAAATGATTTTCCCTTTCAACTCTAGTATATGGTATATACTATATATGTTAGAGGCAGGGCTTTGCTTCCTCATGTTAGAACTGCCCTGCTGATAACTGGTGATCTGATGAATGGTAGGGGAAGTGTTCAGAAGATGTATAGGAAGCACAAATCACATAATGGATGAAGCAGGGAGATCCTTGCACTGTAGGTTTCCCACCAGTAAGGTTAGCAGAAAGCAGTACAGTAGTGGCATCACCATCTCGCTATAAATCTCTTGAGACAAGCAGTTAGTTTCCAGTGCTCCCACACGGCAAATATCCAGCTATAAGGCTGGGCACACACCTTACAACCATCGCAAGACTTTTGTCTTGCGATGGTTGTAAGGTACTTAAAAAAACGTACAATCTGCCTATCTTGCATAGGTAGATCGTACTTGCGATGATCGATCGGCTTCCGATTACCGCAATGCCGAACGGGCAGTGTGCGCTTGCGCACACTGGCCCATCCGGCTTTTATCTTACGAACATGCTACACACCCGCCGAACATCGTACGATGCTCTGCGGGATTTGAAACATGTTCGGAAGTTTGAAGTCGTGCGACCTTACAGTAGTAGAGGTCGCACGGCTTCCACTCACCTTACGATAATCGTACGATCGTGGGATTTCCCGTGATTATCGTACGATTATCGTAAGGTGTGTGGGGACCTTAAGGCTGTAGACACAATCACTTGGTAGGGATTAAAAAGAAAACATTTACATGTTCAGGGTACCACATAGGCACAATTAATATTTGTAAATGTTTCCTATAACATAGCAAAATGTAAAATTTTTAATTCTGGTCCACTTAAATGCCCAACTGCAACCATATTTGTTTTATTTTGTTTTGTACAGGGTAGGGAATTATCAAGTTTTTATAGCTCTCTGCATTCCCAGACATACAGAGGGACAGGAAAAGGGAAGAAAATCTTTCCAATTGGCTAGGCAACTGTAGAAACATGACAGGTTTTAACACTTCCTTACTCCATTAATACAGGAAGAGATTAGGGTAGAAATGTATGGTGCAATCAAAACAACATTGCAGCCTTGGAAGAAAGAGTGTGACAGTGATTAGCAATAGATGGGTCCATTGTGTGCGAATCCAATATCATGAATCTTCAGCATCTTGTCACTGTTTGCCTGAGAAAGGGACATGTGATTGCCCAAAACATTACATTGTGTGTTATATGACTAAATAAAAAATCTCTATGGAGGCAAGTACAAAAAATACCAGTTTTTCCTGCCAAATTCCAGTGTCTGGATATCTCCAAAAATGTTACCGGCTTTTCCAGCTATCTTCTATGAACAGAGGCGTAACTAGAACCTTCAGGGCCCCGGTGCAAGAAACCATGAAGGGCCCCCCCCCCCCAACCCCACGGCACTGCATGGTTAACAGGAAGGCTGCCGAGGTCCCCAGCAAGCGTGGGTCCTCAGGAAGCCGCTTGTTTAAAATTTTAGTGCCGGTGTTCTGTCGAGAACGCCGACCCAGTATCTGCGTTTATGTACAGACGCGATTAACGAGGAAACCGGCATTTATTTACAAAGTATTCATTTGTAATTGTGACCATTAATGATATGCGGAACGATCGCGGGGGGGGCCCTCTACTTCCTTGCTGGGCCCCCCCCAAGTGACGAACGCCAGGGCCCGGTCGCAATTGCGACCGCTGCGACCCTGGTAGTTCCGCCAGTGTCTATGAACTACAAAAGATCTCCTCCTCCTGAGGAGAAAAGGAGGTGTTTGTATGGAGAAACAATATCAAGCAATATCACACTAGGCTGCTCTCCTGAGTTAGATTAAAAACAGTACAGTGAAAAAAAGCCTGAAAAAAGTAAACTAATACACATTTTAAGGACTGATGAGCTGCAATATATTACATATGTTTTGTGTGTGTTTAAACACACTTTAATTGCCTTTTACATTTTTCTTTACAATAACGTTTTATTAATTTTAGTGTATTTTTATTAATAACTGATAAGTATCTCCTTTCTTTTGTCTGTCTTAGTTATTTATATGCTGTAGGACAGAAGGTTTGGAAACGTTGGAAGAAGCGTTATTTTGTTCTAGTTCAGGTTTGTTCAGTTATTTTTTATGTTTTCATATGATAAGCTTGCTCCAGTTAAAGTGAAAAGTGATATCTGTTTTTGCAGTAAAATTGTACTTGCCCAAATGGTTTGGTGTGGTGTAGTCTTAAGGGGCCCACTCGCCCTCGCAGCTACACATGCTGGCCATGATCCTTAGCGCCCCTCGGTAATAGGCCGTGCTCTCATGACCCCAGTGTCGCTCATAGTTCCTAGTGCTCACAAACCCAGCCAGCCAATGAACCAAGCATGGAAAGCCAGTGCTACTTATAACCTCTACTTCCCCCACAACAGAACCCGCTGGTGCCACTTACAACCCCTGCTGCCTCTGAATACAGCCGCACAGTAATCCTTACTATTGCCAGGGGCCCAAATAGCCATCCAGTGCACTAAGAAATACTCTGTGCCTCCAGACAATCTGCAGTTATGCCCCCGGTGTTCCCCATGCTCCTAATGCAACTAGCTAGTAATGCCTTTCATGATCCCCATTTCTCCAGCACAGCCAAACAATGCCCCAGACACACCTTTATTTGAATCTTGGCTAAAAGAGAAAAATTTGCCAACAAAAGCCAGGCAGAACTTTTCCAATGACCTCACTACCTTCAAGTAACGTTGAATGTCAGGGAGACACAAAAGACCACTATGTAGTCCAGTTTTATTATTCTACAAAAATATTGTGTTTTCAAATGCATTTAGAATACATACTTTAAATCTCTCTTTATATTGGCTTCTTGTAATCCTTCTAGGGAGCATTGTGAACCAAGTGAGTGGTGATCATTAGCATGTTGAGCCTTAATTTTGTATAGTCTAATTATCAGATTGGGGCTCAAACATTTATCAAGCTCTATTACTTTTTATTTTTTAATTTCAAATCAGCTTTATTGTAAACAGACAAAATACAACAGGATCGTATGCCTTGCCATACAAGTACAACAGTATTCACATGACACTAAAAAGATTGGCAGCAGACAGTAATTGTATCTGAAATACAGCAACATCAATAGACCGCCCTCCAATGGGGGGCGGTCACGGTTACTCAAAACAACCCAGCCGGGGTCATCAAAAATATAAACCATCTTAAACATAGAAACCAACATATGGTATCAACAGGTCTCGGAGTAGAGCGCAACACGCCGCTCTGAACATGTCTGAGATCTCACAGGTAAAGAAATGCAGTCGTTAAACCGTGATATTAAAGATTTGTGTCTCCTCACATACCTAGCTCCGAAATAGAGTGCAATGCAATCAAGTCGCTTTTATGTCAGTTTTTCAGGGACTTTTTTTTAGCTCACAATTCTAAATGGTTGGAGTACCAAAGACGGTATATAGTTATAAAGTAAAGCTTTTTAATTTACAGGAGTTAGTCATATTTTATGACATATTGGTATTTTTCTGTCCTATTTAGGTAAGCCAATACACATTTGCAATGTGTAGCTACAGGGAGAAGAAAGCTGAGCCCCAGGAGCTGATGCAGCTTGAAGGATATACAGTAGATTACACTGATCCTCAGTCAGGTATTGGAATACTTCAGCCATCTTGTCTATTAGATGTCGTGCCATGTGCATTACCATAATTATCCATCCACATTGATGATTGAAATTACTCTTTCATGATAAATGATTAGTTATATCAAATAGGCAAAGGGCAGTTTATTGTATGGCTCTACTTTACCAGGGCTCCAGGGTGGCCGGTGGTTCTTCAATGCGGTGAAAGAAGGGGACACTGTGATCTTTGCCAGCGATGATGAGCAAGACCGAGTATTGTGGGTACAAGCAATGTACAGAGCTACAGGACAGTCTTACAAACCCATTGTTTCCAACCATGCTCAGAAATCAAATCCAAGAGGAATAAATGCTCACATGGAAGCTCCTCAGCCAAGTAAGTTTTTTTTTTTTATGTTGAGACAGTGGTATTGATGGTCTCCTCCAGATGGTTCAGTGCCTTTCTAATAACTTTTGGCACTTTTCCTGTTAAAGGGAAACATTTTAATGTAATTTTGGAAGCAGGCGGACAATACATCAGAAAATTTCTGACATAAACCTATATTACTAGGTATATAGAACAAATCACATCTTAAAGAAACTATTACTAGCTTACTGCATGTGCTGTATTAAACTGATTTATATTTCCGTCTTGCAGCCATGCAAACTGATTGTAGCAATTGTCGGTTTTCAACTTCTTTTTTTAACCAGTAAATTCCAGTGCTTCTTTCTTACGGTGGACTTTGCTTTAAAATGCAATGTCTGCTTATCTATCAATATTAGCCTGAAAAAAATGCAAGAACAATTTAGAAATAATACTCCCTTTACACCCTAGTAACTAGTTTTTACCTGTTTCTTAGAACTTTTTTAATGGCTTTAACTTAGGGTGCATTTGTTATACAGTGAATGTAACGTTCACAAACATACCTGCAGCAATCTTTACTGCCTACTTTAGACTTGAACCCCAGAACCATTTACAATGAGGAAAGCTCCTTCAGTTTAGAGAAGTGCCGCAGGTTGCCCACTCTCCCCACTGAACCTATTAGCCGATCACTATGATGGCATTGCCTTAGTGGCCAGTAGGAATATGTAGGGGGGGTGTCGGGCAAATTCTGTCACTTTTTTTTTTTTTTTTCTGTTAACCCAGTCCAGAGATTTACACAGCTCTACCACACAACACAGCCTGGCATGGCAGAATAGTAGACCTATTTTTCTCTGAAGTTTAGCAATATTTAAAGGTCTTGTCCCTCCCTAGTCTGTGATTGGACAGTGAAAGGAGAAGCAGTAGACTGAAAAACTCATCTCTTGTCCACTTTGCCTTCCCCTCCTTTCAACATGTTCCCTCTTAACATGTGAGCACTGCAGCACACCTGATTGGCCTTTCATGCTTCTTCTCCCTCTCCCAATGTGAGCTCTGCTTTACAGGACCTGTAGAAGGTTGATACAAGCCAAATGCTGGCACTTACATTACTTGCATTAAAAAAAAATGTATTAATGGATGGAGAATTGTGTTAATGTGTTCCTTTTATATCTTCCTAGAGTGTCAGAGTCACTTTCAATGTGACACAACATAAAATTTTTATGGTATTTAAACTTTAAAACTGCTTGTTAATCTTGTACAGTATTATTAAGATTTTCAAAGTCCCTATTATGCTTCTATCTTGCATTTACCTTGCAGAGTCTGTCAGATGAATGGGACCTTTGCTTTGACAGTGCAAAGCTGAAATATCTGAATTAGTAGGAATATCTAGTGAATATCTGAAGCTGCACTTCTTTCAGCATGAATGAAATAATTCTTCCATCTGCAAATCTAGTTGGCTGTTGAACTTGACACAGATCAATATAATCTGGGGCTAAATTCCTCAATGTGACTGATTATGTTAGCATCATGGCCACAGATCAATATGGAGTTTTATGAGGGACCAGATTCTGTAATTGGCTTTGATCAATATGTCTTTGTCTTGCTCCCTTTACAACCCTTAAGTTAGTAGCCTGTTGTATCCAAAGTACATTTAGGATAGTACATTTGCAGTAACTAACATAAAAAGATAGGCATTTAAATTTTACAGAACAAAGAGCCAAAGGCCCCATTGTATGGGGCCATTTTGAGTAGATTGCTCACCCAAAATGAACTTTGGTATCAAACTGAGCTAGTGTTCTGTTGGATAGCTAAATCCTCTTGGCTTTTAATGTCTGTACATGATAGATGATTCACATGGATGTTTTTAACAAAACATAGCATTAACGAAAGCAATCAGAAGAGCTCGCCTTCTGATAGACCCGCGGGGTCTAAAGGCGTTGAAAGATGCATCTGTGAAGAACAATATGCTTGGTCCTTCGACTGCCATTTAGGACATTGTAGTATGAAGAAGATAGGTATTGTCAGCCATATACTGCTCTGTTTTCTTTTGCTGTTTTTGCTTGAAGGTTATAAATTATTTTTCTGCTTGCTATATGCAACACTTTCCATTACTCTACCAAGGTTTGTCTCATTAAAAGCATAGCACAAAACAAAGACTGGAAGTGACCTACCTTTTACTGACATGTTCATTTCTGCTCTAGTTTGCCATTTGGAGAATAGATTGCTACTTGTGATGAATGTGTATTTCTATGTTGCTGTTTGTACTGCCGTAGATACATTCCCAGGAAGAACAATGGAAGGGTGGAAATGTGCAATGTAGTAGAGCTTTTTCACTGACCATTTTCTTTTTAGACTGGATGTTTGCTAAGTGCTTTGAAATTCACAGAGGTCATATCATCAAGCTGTCAGTGATTAAAGCTCGAGTGTGTGTGTGGATCACTTCTTGAAATTAAGTGTTGATGGCAAAAAGTGTAAATGTAATTTAATATTTCAGCGCTATCTGTTGCTAAGCGTAGCTTTGTATTGTACATTGCCATTTCTTTCTAGACACAGATCGTGGCCAGAGACATGGAATGGATGAGTTTATTTCTGCAAATCCCTGCAGATATGACCATGCCTCCCTTTTTAAAGTGCTTCAGCAACAGACATTGGAACACCGGCTAAATGATTCTTATTCTTGTCTGGTAAGTACTAGAATGTACGTAGCCATGAAGTGTGAAATAGTTGTTACAAAGTGGCACTTCTTTCCAAACTCATTTTATAAGTGTGCTTGGATTTGGGATAAAGGATTTCAATCGATTGCCCTCAAATTTATAAATTATACACGTGAAGATTGCTGCTGTGCCACTCAATAGCAGCAGAACAGGCTCTGACCATCTCTGAAATGTGGCTTAAAAGCTATTCAAAGAGAGAATGACAACTGAAAGCTTACTAAAGGTGGGAGACTCCACTGTGGGGTTTTGTGACACCAGCATATTCTTGCAAGGATCAGATATCTTGAGATGATGTAATTATGCGAGTTGTGTTAAGTCACTGAAAAGAAATGAAACGGGAAACTTCTGAAAGAATACATATTACATACAGCTCATACAAAGAGACTAAATCTTATATTGAAATCATTTTATACAAATTGAGAAATATGTGCCCCGCACTGGATACTGGAAAAGGGTAATTAGTTAATGGAATAATACATTTGTTTATAAAAAAAAAATTTATGTGACCTGTTATGCACTATTACTCTTAACAATATATTTATTTGCAAAAGGTTTAATATATTTGCTGTCAAAGATTTGGTTGTTTCTAAAATTATTAGAAGGTGAAATTTTATAATCCTTTTTCAAGCCTTTTAATTCTATGAAATGCATGTTTACAGTTTTATTTTAATTGCTCTATGTGTTAGATATTGTAACATATAATTGAAGTAGATTCTTGTAAAACACCATAACATTTGTAAATTGCTAATAGTTCTATATATATTCTTATGCTTGAAGATGGTTGCTAATAAGTTATTTAATCAATAATGAAACAAAAAAAACAGGGCAGGATAAGACGGACTTGAAGCAAACATAAAATCCCAATTAAACAACACTGTCCCTGGTGTTATACTTTGCATGTGCAGTGTGCCTTAACTGTGTTGTTTACATTGGTTGCCAACCTCTTCTTAGCTGTTTTTGGTGTTGATACTTCGTGTTTATGACATCCTCAAATGATTACTGCAGAATAGTGGGCATTGGTGTCAGGCATCATAGTGCTGTGTGGAGCACAAAAGCAACTGGACCATACATCATTTGTTGAAGCTTGGTGTACTTCTTTTGCTTAATATGTTGTCAAAATGTAAAATAATAAAACATTAAGGGTCTAGAAACTCTCCAAAATATAATTGCAAAGCAATAATAACAGTACAAAATTTCTCCTTTTTTTTCCCCCCCTCTTTTACGTTTAGGGCTGGTTTAGTCCTGGTCAAGTCTTTGTTTTAGATGAGTACTGCGCTCGATATGGTGTTCGCGGCTGCCATCGACATCTTTGCTATCTGAGGGAGCTGATTGAACATGCTGAAACTGGGTCTGTCATTGACCCAACACTGCTTCATTACAGCTTTGCCTTCTGTGCCTCTCATGTTCATGGAAACAGGTATCTATAACACAGATTTTTGTCAATGACAAGGTTACATGATTAGCTCCTGTGATCACAACTAACAGGTACATTGCTAAACTCCATTATAATGTACAGGGCATGGGGTTCTTTGCCTTCTAATATCATTCATAAACGCAGTGAATATTTCTGCACACTATTGCCTAGTAAATCTGATTTACTGGCATTTTGCTGCTGAATGGAAAAATAATAGATTACATCACAACAATATAGGCAATACATATGTGAAACCTTGTTCACAGAGTTTTTGTCTTATCTTGCTTATAGTATTTTTGTGTTTTGGACATCCTTTAAAGCAGTGGTTCTCAACCTGTGTAACCTCAGGACCCACATTTGTCTTTGGTCATTAATTTGTGTCCCACGTTGCACTGCAATGGAATGCACGTTATTGCAGTACCGTGCATTCTGGTGCAGGCAATCTGACTGTGTGTGGGGGATGCGTTTTGGGTGTCATTCAAATTAATGGGAACGCAACGCACCTTCCACACCAGAACACGCAGTGTGATTGAATGGTACAGTGCATTATTCGCATGGGACTGTGTGATTAACGCATTGTACATGTGTGAACAGACCCTCAAAAACACTGACACACACAACCGCAGACATAATTTCACACGCTCACAGAAATTCTGACACACACATACACACTCCCCAAAAAATGATAATTGTTTTTCTTTCTTTTTTTTAAGATCCACCCAGTCTCCCTACCTTATGAGAACTGGAGTGGATCCTCCGCTCTCTTGTGTACCCTGTAGAGTAGCCGGGAACCAGAATGTGATGTCAGTCCTGTCCAGGCACCTCTATAAGGCACATGAGGGAGCTGTAAACAATGCACATATGGCTGGAGCTCACTTATAACCATACTTCCAGCCCACCCCACCTCAAGCTGACACACATGGCCGGGCAGCATATTTTGAATGGCTGCTCTATGCAAGAACTGACGGTGCTGTGCTAGGGAATAGGAGTCTCTCTACTAGAAAAGTGTAAGGCATGTGGCGACCCACTGAACATGGGGTCGCAACCTACTTTTGGGTCACGACCCTCCAGTTGAGAACCAAGGCTTTAAAGTTTGTGTAGCCATTCTTTTTAGTTTTGAATGTAGTAGGGAAGGTTTAAAACCCCTATCAGGCTATTTTTGTTGCAGTTTGTGTCATGCTGGGCAAATTTCTTTTTACTTATTGTCCTGGAAATACAACAGGAAATGAGAGGAAAGCACCTCACAATTAGGAGATTTCCCTTTTTAGACAGTTGTTGTATTGTACGATTTCTTACCTTCTGCTCTGTAGACAAATCTTCTGTCTCTGTTACTGTTGTCACCAGGGAAAATAGAGGGGTAAATCTCCTCAGTAGGATACACACCAATTTTACTTCTAAACCTGTTGTGAAGGATTGTGGGGATCTGCATGAAGGGGCACCCTGCCATATGGGGCTCCTAACCAACACATGATGGTTTAGGATGTTTAAGGACTGGTTTAATTCAAAGGACATTCCCCTAAAGTAAAGTAAAACATTTCTGTTTTTTGCATGCAACTCACTAAGGCTTCAGCCAGCCATCCATAATCATTATTTACTAGAACTACCTCTGTTTGGGGAAAAAGGAAGGCGGCTGAAGTCATAGGCATCTAAGACTATTCCACACTAATGTGTTTGCTGGGATGACTAAAATACAATATATATGTCCTGGTAGTCTTCTATTCTAATCATATAGAGGACCTGATAATACCAGTGATGTGATGCTTGCTAATTTCTCATTCCTATGCTGTGGCGTACATCACACTGTGGATATGTTATTTGCCTACACACAAGGCTTTCTGTTTGTTAACAAACCATCAGAAGATTTCATTTTTACTCCGCAAACCTTCCACTGTATGTCATATGAGAAAAATATTGTTCAGGGGCTTATCTTACGTGACAGTGCCTCATTGTAAAATCATGACAGAGCCCTATAAACAAAATCTCAATGCCTAAAAATGTAACTTTCTAAGCTAGTGACTAACATTGAGGCATAGCATTAACGTTTCTAGCAGTCAAAGATTTACTAAGACATTTGCCCTTTCTTGAATACCCCACACACTGTTGGAACCCACTGTGATCATCTTCCACCCAAACTAGCCCTACTGTTTGTGCATGTGTTGGATTCTGACTGGATTCTGACAGGAATGTTAGGCACTGAGCACCTTTGGGGAAGTGATTAATGTGAGTGGGTACAGCTATAGTGTCACAGCTATATAAGCGAGTAAGATGACTAAAGAATAAATTGTCATTCATCATCTTGAGTGCTGTTGTTTGAAAAACTGCTATACAGTAGTTGATGATAATTTTAGGAGCGTTTTAGGAGAACATAATCAGAACCACGGAAATGCTGTGGCTATTATAGAAATCGTGTATAAAAAGAACCAAGGACAGAAAACACAAATAGTCTGAAAGGCAGAGATACAGCCACATACACAATCCTAGAACATACAATACCTTCACCCACTCAGCTACCTTCAAGCAGCATTGAGATGAAAGGTAGAAGAAAATTTCCCATGCAATATATCTTACAGTAGGTCAGAGGTCAAGGCTGTCATATCGTCAAACATTTTAGCTTTGTGAGTCCTGCTGAGGGAGATAAAGACAAATGTATCAAAACAAAGAGTCTGTAGACCCCAATTAAACACCTTGGAGAGATACAGGATCACTGTATTCTTTCCCTCCTATTAGTAAATGCTTGCCAGCAACTCATAAAGCTGCTATTTGGCCTGTGCAGCCAAGTTGCTTTTTCCTGTTTAGGAAACTTTGAAGGCCTGGATTTTCAAATTGCCAGCCATCAACTAAACAGGACGGATATTTTTTCTAAGGAAAAAAGGTATTATTGCTATGCATATTCGTGTGTGTGTGTGTGTGTGTGTGTGTGTGTGTGTGTGTGTGCATAGCTGGACAGATTCACCTAGAGTCACAAAGCCAAATCACCTAAAAATTTGAGGTTCTTGCAAATGTTTTTAAACCTTTTTGGTTGTCATTAATATAATGTGTATTCATGTACCTGGTTGGTCTGTTGCATTGTTATATGCATACTACCAGTGGATGATGTTGGTTGCCTTTTAAAGTGTAGTTCCACTTATACAGCCAAATTGGGGTAACTCGTAGTTTTATATTTGTCACGTGTTTCCATTCACATAGTATATTAAAAAAAATTATCCTGCCTAGCTTTACTTTTCTGTAATGTTAAGGAGAGGGTTAGGGATAAATGTTTACCATAATTAACCCTGTTTATGCTGTACTGGTAGATCTCATTATCATTTGTAACTAGATTTGAACACTGTCTGTCCTAGCAAAGGTTTAAAGTGTGCCAAAAAAAGTCAAATGCTCTACTATTTAGTTTGACGTCCTCTAGCTTTAATTACAGCATGCTTTCACCATGGCATTGTTTTGATAAGCTTATGCAATGCTATTTATTTCCATCCAAGATCTTGTAGTGATGATGCAGAGTCGGACCACTACGTAAAGTATTCTCCAGCACATCCCAAAGATTCTCAGTGTTAAGGTCTGGACTCTGTGGTGGCCAATCCATGTGTGAAAATTATGTCTCATGCTTTCTGATCAACTCTTTTACAATTTGAGCATAATGAATTGTCTGAATTTTTGAATTGTCTGAATTTAATGAATTTTTGTTGCCGTATGTCACGGGAATATTCCAAGATGACTGGCATTGTCATCTTGGAATATTCCCGTGACATACGGCAACAAAAATTCCATTGATGGAAATACCTGGTCATTCAGTATATTCAGGTAGGCAGCTGACCCCATTTTTTGGGGCACATAATGTTGCTGAATCTAGACTAATTATCTAGTGGAAGGCTCTTAGCCATTTGCTTAGCAAAATCCAGGTGGTGATTTTTTTTTGGGGGGGGGGGTAGGCAGTGTATATTGCAGCTTACCAGTCCTTACATGTGGTGGCTGTATTCGATTTCTTTTACAGGATTGTTTTCCTTTATTTTACCTGGTAATCCGACCTGTATGCCTATTATTATATTTCAACTTCCCATCACAGACCAAGCTCAGATTGGTTGAGACAAACCATTTAACAGTGACATGGGTGCTTACAATGGTCAGCTTTTATTCACTTATGTAAAAACTTGATCCTAAAAAGACAACTAATGCAGCAACCACATCTAAAGATTGATACACTGCAATATATTAAATTTTTGTTTTAGGGTTTAGATTAACCACTTTCAGCAGGCAAATACACATCATCCGCTGGAAGTGGTTATACCAAGAACCCGGTTGCTGCTGCAGCTGTGTTCTTGGTACCGTTTTAAACAGTAGACGATTGCTGTTTAAATACAAGCAATCCGTTTGTATAGGCGCCGGATCGCTTGTACGGCACCATGTGTATATGTCCACCGTCACCGGTGCCGCCACCGGCTTCTCAGGCTACGCTGTCCCCCGTGCAAGCCCGGGACCAGCGTGGTGGGTCACCCCTGATGGATCGGAGGAGAGATCAGCGGCTTCCAGAAAGAAACAACTAGAAACGTAAGAAATATTATTTTTGGTATGCTGTATGAATAAGAACACATAATAGTAAGTGTTTCTCTAATTTTACTGTAAAAGTGGAAATAAACCGCTTTGTAGCACAAACATGAGAAACGGGAATTGGTGTATAGTTTGTAAGCGTGGTTGTGTTACTTTCCTTTGTGCTGTACAGATGCTTGGAAATTGACATTTACGTTTTGAAATATGTATTTATAATTAGGGAATAAATGAAAATGAAATGTGTTCAATTAACCCACTAAAATGGTAATAATTAACGTTTGACCTATATAAATAACAAGTATGAAATCATAAAAGCATTAATAAATTGTTGTTCATTGTACATCCTATTTAACAATTAATTGAGCTAATTTTAGCACATTTGCAAGGCTTTTACTGTGCACTCCTTCCATAACGCACTTCAAATTACATTTTATTTTCTCCAATTTTTCCTCCCTCTAGAAAAA